CCCCCCCCCCCCGTGACTCCCTGACCCCACAAGCTACTTCCCAGGACTCTTGCAGAAGAAACCATTCACTATGGTTCCACAAAAGGTTTTATTGTGTGGCTTACAAGCCCCTAACTGTTCTTTGGGAGGAAGGCCCTGCCTCTGGGAAGGACACAGAGGACCTTGTCCTCTGAGGCCCCGCCCCCCCCATGGTCCTGGGGCCACTCTGGGTTCAGGACCCGTCATCCCTCCTTGCCTGGCGGGTTAGCTGGCCTGACTCCCGCACTCCCGGCACAGCGGCCCCGAAGGCTTCTGGGACAGGCACAGGCAGCTGCTTTCAGGACCCACTTGGGAACTCCTCTGGCCGCTCACTGCCCCCGGCTGTCCTGCCCCTGGTGAGAGCGGCACCCCCCGCACCACAACCCTCCTTCCCTGCTGGCTGAAAGCAAAGGACAGAACAGGGACTCTGGGCCCAGAAGGTTTGGATCCCAGCTTCTTAAAAACCCGTCACTGGAAACAGGCAAATTCGGGGACGGGGTTTGCTCGCGTCTTGCCCACAAGCAGAAGCCTGAGTGTGCCTCTCTTGACGCGGGCTCCAGGGTCCCGGCTGCGCCCCTGCACCACGCCCGCGGGCCCGCCGCCTGTGCTGGGGTGGGACAGCCAGGAGGCGGCCCTCAGGCTGCAGCTGGGAGGCCGGGGCCGTGGCTCTTCCCGGACCCCAGCTCCTCGGCTCCGGGAGGCTGGAGCTTATGAAACCTGCCTCACCACGTGGGGCTCGGGCCGGCCCATCGCAGTGTCACAGGCACCGGGAGTGCGTATGTCAGACTCGGGAACTCGGTCTCCGGAAAACAGGAGTTTATTTTTATATTCCGTAAACAGGAGCTTCACGATCAACACAAACACGGAGCGACGTCAATGCTGTTCACCCGGAGGACAGTCTGCGGGGTCACGATGACTGGGAGGGAGAGGACAGGGTCACGGCCTGCGACCACGTCCGCCGCCGGTCCTGAGCTGCGGGACTACCTGGCCTTTGCACGGGGGCGGGCCTCCCCAAGCCCCCCCAGGCGGCCCGCCGGCCTCTGCCCACGCGCTCCACGGGCCCGAGACACGCAGCGCCAGGGGCTCGGAGGCCGGGGCGGACAGCCCATCTGCCTGAACTTGGGACGCCGTGGAGGCGGCAGAGAGTGGAGGAGGGGCTCCCACTGGCTGGACTGGGGGGGCCGGCGGGGGCATCCTACTATTTCAGGATATTGTAGTGACTCCTCACGGTCACTCAGGCAGCCCTGACGGTGTGACCAAGGACCGTGGGGGCCCTGAGCTCCCGGAGGAGACAGGCATCCCCAGCCTGGGCGTCCCAGCCAGGAGATGCCCCCCACTCCCACTTTGTGAGTTAAGCGGGCACTAGTAGGTGGCTGTGGATTGGAGCAAAGAGGGACGTGTGGGGGTCAAAAGGAGTGGGGCAGGCCAGGCCAGGCCCGGGACGGGAGGGCAAAACGTGGGCAGTGCCAGCTGGCGTGAGACCTGCCTGGGGCCTCCTCCCTGTGTGACCCCAGCGCCCCCAACCCTGGAGGCGTGGAGCACGGCATCCACAGCAGGAGGCTGGGCGGGAAAAGCCGGGTCTCCCGCCCTCACTCAGGAGACGCCCTTGACTTCCTAACCCCTCGCGTCCCACCCATCCTTCCGCAACACTCCTGCAGCACGCACCGGAGCACCCCGGACCGAGGCTTCCTCTCCCCTTCCGGCTCCCCGGCCGCCGAGCCCACCCCACGGCCCCTCTGTTCCCTCACGCGCCCCTGCCTGCGCACCCGCCTGGGGGACATGCCTGGGGGAGGCCTCTGCTGTGAAGTCATGCCTCAGACTCGCTGCTGCCGAGTCTGCCAGCACCCCTCGCCCCCCCCACGGCTCAGGCGGCCACCACCCGTCAGGGCCCACCTGTCTCCTCGGCCTCGCGCTGCACCTGACGGAACGTGGCTCCGGGCCAAGCCCCTGCCGCTCCCCCTCTTCCACGATGGGCTTTGCTTCCTCCCCCCAACCTGTGACTGCACCCCCAGCCCCTGCAGGGGGGCCATCGGACAGAAGCGCATGTCCGCACCAGGCCACACGGCAGCAGAGCTGGATGGAGCGCCTGCTCGGTGCCTCCCTCCTCCCCGCCTGGAGGCACTCTCCTCCCCCGCCCCGTGCTCCATCGTAGCTGCGTGTGCGTGTACAAGCGTGTGTGGCCCAGAGGCACCAGGCCGGGTGTCGTGCACCTTCGGGCCCCAAGGACAACTGAAGGTTCGCTCCTGCTCTGTGCTGAGTGGCAGGTCTGTCGCCGCGCTGCCGGGGGATACTGCGCCGGGAGAGCCCCCCACCCCCCGCCAGTCTATCGGCCCCTCTCTGTGGTGGACGCGTGTGCCCATCCATGTCTCGCGGTACACGCGGTGCCAGGCTGCAGCGATGGGAACACTTACCTCACTGCAGTGACCGGGCCACACCTGAGGCTCCCGCCCGGCCCTCCCCGCCAGCCCTGGGGCCCGTGGCCGCCGGCGGAGCGGGAACAGGCCCAGCCACACTTTCTCCAGCTTACCTTTTTTCCTCCTGTAGTTTTTCCTTTTCTGAAATTTCAGATTGATTTTTGGCCACGACTCTGTCTTTTCAATGACTGTGGCTTCTACCCGAACGAGGTCCTTTCTAGAAGAGAGAAAATGCCTTCTTGGTTATTCTTCAGTCCTACCAACGCTTTATGTAAGAATTTCCAAAATGAAGCTTCACTTCTTTTCTTTCTTGCCGATTATAAAAGCGGTACATCCTCTCCCCTACAGATATCCCGCAAGCCACACAGCAGCACGACCAAGGTCAGTGCCGGGGGGGGGGGGAGGAGACAGGTGAAGGGGGTTAAGGGGGATAACCCCCCGGTTATGAAATAAACCAGTCATGGGGACGTGACGCAGCTCTGAGGACACAGTCAATAACGCTGTCATCACTTCGTGCGGTGACAAAGGGTGACCAGACCTGCGGGGGCACACCACACACCAGAAACAAACGTCACGCTATGCGGGAGTCACAGGACTCAGTAATAAAAAAAAAAAGAGCAGCGTCAGGGCACCTGGGCGGCTCGGTCAGTACAGTGCGTGGCTTTTGATCTCGGGCCTGTGAGTTCGAGTCCCACACTTGGTACAGAGCTTACTTGAAAAAAAAGGAGAGAAAAAAAGACACCAGGGGTGCTTGGGTGGCTTCGCTGGGTAAGCGTCTGACTCTTGATTTTGGCTCAGGTCAGGATCTCACGGTTTGTGAGTTCGAGCCCGGCATCGGGCTCAGAGCAGACAGCAAGGAGCCCTTTTGGGGATCTGTCTCCCTCTCTCTGCCCCTCCCCCTGCTCACACGCATGCGTGCGCCCTCTCCCTTTCTCTTTCCCTAAATAAAGGCACAAAAAAAAAGAAAAACAACAAAACACAAAAAAACCGCAGCGCACGATCTGTCAAGAAATCCTGTCTGCGTGGGCCCCGGACGAAGGCAACACACGAGCAAGTTACCCGAGGAGCGGCTTGCCAAGCAGCGTGAAGTTGTCGGCTCCAACCAGCAGGACCTGAGGAACCAAACAGGCACATTACTGACCAGCGACGGAAAAGTCCCCCGACCGGGCAGCGACGCGCCCTGGAGAATGAGAGTGTGCTGACCGCACGCGGCCAACCGGACAGGCTGCCTCCCAAGTCGGCTCCCGGGCTTGAAGCCGACAGGGACGCGAGCCATTCAGGGGCTGGTGGTCGGCCGGCTGTGCAGGTGAAACCAAGCCGTCGCCCCGGTGACTGCGCCCAGAGCCCAGAGTTTCCGGCCAGTGTGGACGGCGGCTCTTGTTTTTCTTTCTTAACTTTTTGCTGGAAGTTATAATGTACACAAGGAGAAAATGTACAAGTCACACTGTGGCATCTTTTCTTTCTTTTTTTTTTTTAAGTTATTTATTTCAGAGAACGCAAGAGCCAGCAGGGGAGGGGCAGAGAAAGAAGGGGGAGAGAGAGTCCCAAGCGGGTTCCATGCTGGCATCAAGGAACCCCATGGGGGGCTCGACCTTACGAACCGTGAGATCATGACCTGAGCTGAAATCGAGTCGGAGGCTTAGCCGACTGAGCCCCCCCAGGGGCCTCCGTACCGTGGCTCGTCTCGAAGTAGCTCCTAAGGCTAATCCTGCACAGATTCAGGGTTGAGCGTATTTCTCGATGACTGTACACAGCCGCTCCAGCAGCCTCTCTCACTGCAAGGACACCTTTGCACCCCAGGGCAGGGGTTTTATGAGATGCCGGAAGGCCCCCTGAAGTTTAAGAAAAGTTCCCAGAAAATTGTTTTACAGTTGCTTTAAGGATAAGTCATTCTCTGCTACTAGATTTCCTAAGTTAGGAATAAACAACCTGCATCAGTGGGGCTTTCGCCTTTGTTACTGGGAAATGTTTCAAAACAATGTCTTTTTCAGACGCGCCCGGCCAGCTCAGTTGGTCAAGCGTGTGACTCTTGATCTTGGGGTTGTGAGTTCGAGCCCCATGTTGGGTATGGAGATTAAAAACAAAAGCCGTTTTAGAAATCTTCACAGATACTTTAGAATCAGGGTAAACATTCTCGTGTCCACGAGCTCACGACCAGCCACGATGTCGTTAAAACAGGGCTCTGCCGGCTGCTGACGTCCAGTTAATTAGTTCAGCTCTGAGCTCAGATCACAGGCCGGGAGACCTCAGAAACAGAATTTAATGCTCTCCTTAGTGTAAATACACACACACTCTGCAATCACAATGGAAGGAATTTTAATTAGTAAAGAAAATCATATGTTGTTACAGTTTGTCCCACTGACAGTTAAGTCTATCCTACAAAAACGACGTAGCACAGAGAACTTACGTTTCACGTACTTTTATAAACAGAACCGCCTGAAACAGCAGAGTCCTAAGCGATGGATAGAGATGCAAGGCTAAGTTCACAGATGGAGCGGAATAGGGTGGGAGGTGGGATCAGCTCGTCCCAGGAACTGCCTCTGGATCCAGGCCTCTCGGTTTACAAGCCCTCGGGGGCGCCCAGGGGGCTCGGTCTCATCTGACTCTTGATTTCAGCTCAGGTCATAATCTAATGGTTTGTGAGATCGAGTCTCACGTTGGGCTCTGTGCTGACAGTGTGGAGCCTGCTTTGGGTTCTCTCTCTCTCTCTCTCTCTCTCTCTCTCTCTCTCTCTCTCCTCCCCTCCCTCCCTCCCTCCCTCTCTCCCCCCTCCTTCCCTCTCCCCTGCTTGTACACACGCTCTCTCTCAAAATAAATATTTAAGAAAAAATAAAAGCAGCAGCCATCAAATCTACTGCCAGAGTGGCTCCAGCTGAAACACCCCCCAACACCGGGCTGAAACCCCATCTTCACCCGGGGTGCTCGCTGTGTTCTGTGGGAGCGCGTTACGGACGTGAAACAGATCAGCGCACATACTTTCCTCTGGGGAACGTGTTGCCTGTCCCCCTGGGAGAGGGTCTCCTGGGCGGGGGGCTGCTCCCCCCCACCCCCCGACCCAAGGAAGCCTCCCCGGGGATGTGCCCGGGCAGCAGGACGGCAGCATGGCGAGCACCGCTGGTGGCCTCACCTTTTCCAACCGTATCCTCTCTCCACACGCGACATCCAATTCGTTGTCAACTAAAATCAGGTCCTCGGGGGTCACCTTCCACTGGTGGCTGGCGAAGTGCACGACGGCGAAGAGCCTGCCATACTGGCCGGTGGCGATAAGCTCGTTCACCTTCTCCACGACCTCTGGGAGGCAGGGGGAGAGGCAGGACTGGGACGGGCCGGTCAGCTCCTCACCACCAGGGCGGCAGCCGCTCCACCCCACCCAGCCGGGCCGCCGTGACTGTGGCACGCGGCCACGCGGCTCTCTCAGCGGGAGGGGAGCTTTGAGGGCCACTGGCACCTTCGTAAGGTGTGCTTCCCGCCGAGGGCCACCTCCCTTCCCTGCCTCGGTCGGGGCTCAGCCTGTGGGGCTTTTCCAGACTCAAGTGCCCGACGCCGCAGAATGCCCCGCTTGGCCTGAGCACTCAGCGGCCCTGGCTCCATGGTTCGGGTCACAACCCCGTCCGCCCAGCACCATCTACCGTCTGGTAAGCATCTGCGGAGCCCTGACCTTCCCGGCCTGCCTGGGGCTGGGGGCGCGGCCGAGGAAGACCCCTTCCCGCCCTGGAAGCAGAGTCAAGGCCAGAAGCCGCGGCCAAGAGAGGGCAGCACGGGAGTACCTGGCGCGGCATCTCCAGCAGGACTTCGAAGCCGACCCTGCCACCCGCTGAGCTGCCCCAGCTCCATGAGGAAGGCTGAGGAGGCCGCACCCCTCGCGGCAGCCGCCACACCGTCCCTCTGCACGGCCACGAGCTCCAGGCGACACCCATCCCGACACCCCGAAAGTCCCCCAATGCCCGGGACGGTGCAGGCGCCCACCGCCCACCCTGTTCGTCTGATCGTGGACAAACCTGTCCCTGACCCTGTGCTCCTACGGGGGGCAGGAAGACACAGACGGCTCAAGGGCCCCGCCCTCCCCTCCCCCTCCCGCCCTGAACACCGATGCTGCTCAGGAGTGTTTGCTAAGTGAATGAGCATTTACATTTTTGGGCTCAGTGGCAAAACTGGGCCTGAGCATCCGCAGTGCCCTGGGCCTTGGAGCACCCGGGGCTGTGCTTTCCTGCTCTGGGGCCAGGCGACCACCTCTGTGGAGGAGGGGGTACCGCCCCCCCATTACCTGCATGGTGTCTGGTCTCCTCAGCTGCGTCTGGCAGAACAATTTCTGGCCAAGGCGGTGAACTCAGCGATGTCTTAGGAACGTACCTGCAAAACATTTCACGTGTGCGTGTCACACATCAGAGCGTGTAAGACACGGCAGCGCGGCAGAGGCGGGGGGGGCGGGGAGGGCGGGGCTGTGCGCATCTCGGCTGGGGCAGCGGCAGGCTCTGCTCCTGTGTTCCAGTGGGGGGGGCCCGGGCGCTGGGGGGGCTGGCAAGTACCAGCTCACAGCCGTGCTGCCACGTGACCCCGGCAGTGTGACTGAGGACAGGCTTCTGCATGGCCTCTCAGAAGGAGCACGGATTCCAAGAAACATCCACTAATCACTCACGATCCAAACGTAATTCCAACCACTTTATTCCAGAAGAGCCCTCCTTGGAACAGCCAGGTCCTGGGCCAGGGGCCCCTCCGAGGAGACTGGGCGCTCAGGGTCCCCAGGGCACACGTGCTCGGATGTATGGCTGCAGCGCTGGCCCCCCCCCCCCCCAACACTCCACAGGGAGACAGAAGCTCTGCGCTCCCCGCTGCCCCCTGCGCCTCACCCTGGCACTCGAGGGCCCGGGGCAGGACGCCCGTCAGAACCACTTCCCGGGTTCTTCCCCGGCCCGGTCAGCCCCAGCCTCCAACTCCCACCAGGCGGGTGGGTCTGAACCCAGGCTAGGCCACTGGAGTAACACGGCCTTGGCACGCATCTCCCTAGCCTGCGCTCCCATCTCCCTCACTGTGCACCTGCCTCCCAGGGCCGGGCAGGGACAGGAGGGACAGGGTGCCTCCCCGGGCAGGGACAGGAAGGAGCGGGCAACGGGGATGTGCTCGAGCAGAGGCGGTGCTGTCGCCAGTGTGTCCGCGTCACCCTGGCGTCGGCCCGCAGTACTGGAGCCGGGCGCACCGGGCTGGGAGCCTGGAGGTGAAAGAAGGCAGGTGGGGTCCTCCTAACCTCCCGATCTATTTTTGCCTCAAATCCCTGAAGTTTACAAAGAGAAGAGAGCGCAGGAGAGCCCAAACTGAATTGTTCAGAACTGTCTAGAGCTTCTGTTGCCGTCTGCTGCAGGACAGTGGAAGGCAAGCATTTCTGCTGCAGAGCCTGGCGAGACGAGGCTGCGGCAGGTCTCGGGGCCCTGCGTCGCTGGCCGTCAGCAAGGGCTCCACGCAGACCCGTGAATCGAACTCTTGCCAGGCTGGAACTCTGGTCCACCGGCCACAAAATTAAACTGGGCTTGTCCGCCGTGCCACCCTTGGGGCCCTGGAAACACGCTTGGGCTCTGTGGCCAGGCAGTGACCTTGGCGGACCAAGTGGCGCGGAGCCTGCATGTGGGAGCCTGGCTGCCCGCCGGGCCGGTACCCTGCTGCGACTGGCAAGCTGGGGGCCCAAAGGACACAGGAAGAACCAGCTGAATTAACTACTAAAGCCCCCCCAGGAGCTTCTCTGTAAACGGATTCGGCCTTTCGTCTTCTCAACGTGCACAAGCCTTGAGCCTCTCCAGTGCTGAGAGCCTGTGATGTGGGGGCGGCTGACACCATGACGACGGCCCGAACGCCAGGCCCTAAGCTCTGCAGACGTGGACGCTTACTGAGTGCTCACGGGACTCTGAATGGATACGAACATCACTTCCATCTTGCAGAAGAGGGAACGAAGCTCAGAGCAGGTGACCTTGCTCGGGGACCCACCAGGACTGGCAGAGGCGGGGCCGGGACAGGACCCGAGCTCCTTACTTTACCTGCTCTTCTGCGTCGCCCCTGGGTGTTCCTACTGGTGGGCGTGGCCTCGTCAGGTTTACTCTCTGTAGTTCATGTTCAAGGCTTTTTCCTCTAAACGTGGTACTTTGATACTGAATGTGCTCTTCCAAACGGTATTTAAGTTCCTCCTAGAAATCCCGATACAACCTTCCATGCTGCCAGTGAGAAGCCTCTAACTGAGAGTTAAAGCCTTTCCTTGATAAATAGGCTATGGAAGAGAGCTCACTCGCCTCGGCCCTGGACGCTCCATCTACATTTATGTCAAGGGTTTTAGAAAAACACTCTCAAAAAAGCTGAGAGAAAAACAGAAATATTCTTGGAACCCATGCACGTGCTGTTTTGGCTTTAGAAAGATAGTCCCACCAGCGAAGGGTCGCCGGAGGTCACGTCTGGACATTACCTGTGCGGGTCTGATGTGCTCTGCGAGCTGAACCTTCTGGAAGCGGGCCCCAGGGAAGCTGAGGGGACAAGACACAGGGCGGTTACTGGTAGGAAACGCCACAGCTCTTTATAGGGCTACACACACAACGCCGCTGCCGGGACCGAGTTACCACACCCACCACAGTGCGTCTGCTTGTGTGTGTCAGGGTGTGGCCATCACATCATTTATCCAGTTAATCTCTACACTCGATGTGGGGCTTCAACTCACGACCCTGAGATCAAGGTCACATGCCTTTTCCAACTGAGCTGGCCGGGTGCCCCCCTGGTCACATTGTTTAGAAGAGCCTAAAACCGGAATCCCTCACCCACGAGTCCATTCCTTGACCACCAGGTGCCTGGTAGGGTCAGACGCCCGAGAAGTATCGTCACCCCTGCACTGTCCCTCGGACGGGCCGGTCGCTGTGGCCAAGGGCATGTGGCAGCAGTCACAGCATGGCACTGCTGAGATTAGGTTACAAAATACTGGATCCGAGCCTCCTGCCAATGAGCAAGGAGTGAGCTTGGAAATGGATCATCCTTGGGGCACCCACGGGGCTCAGTTGGTTGAATGTCTGACTTCACATCAGCTCATGATCTCACGGTTCGTGGGTACGAGCCTCGCGTCGGGCTCTTGAGCTGACGGCTAGGAGCCTGGAGCCCTGCTTCTGATTCTGTGTCTCCCTTTCTCTCTCTCAAAAATAAACAAACATTAAAAAAATAAAAGGAACAGATCGTCCGGCCCCTGCTGACAGCTTGGCTGCCATCTAACGAGAGCCGGAACCACCCAGTGAAAGCGCTCCCGCACTGCTGACCACCAGAAACGGTGTGACGTAATAAATGCTAGTCATCTTCAGCTGCTAGGTTTTGGAGTAACTTGTTAGGCGGCAGGAGGTGACCAATACACCCAAGGACAAAGGCAGTCACCTCCTACTGAGTCGAGAGCCCAGAAATCAGATGCAGAGCTTAGGGGCAAAAAGCAGAGGGCAGCAACTCAGTGACTGGTGAGGGTTTATTTACTCATTTATCTCTGAAGATTCTGTTACTAAAGTTCCTTTGTGGGGGCGTCTGGCTGGCTCAGTCAGTAGAGCATCTGACTTTTTAAAAAAAATTTAAATGTTTACTGACTTATTTTGGGAGAGGGAGAGAGGGCACGAGCCGGGGAGAGGAGGAGAAAGAGAAGCCCAAGCAGGCTCCATGCTCAGCGCGGAGTCTAATGGAGCCAGACGCGGGTCAAAGCCACAAACTGTGAGATCATGATCCGAACTGAAATCAAGAGTCGGATGCTTTAAAAAAAAATTTTTTTTTAAAGTTTATTTATTTTGAGAGAAAGAGTGGGCAGGGGAGAGCGGGGGCAGGGGGGAGAGGGAGAGAGGAAGGGCGGGGGAGAGAGAGAGGATCCCAAGCAGGCTTCCCACTGTCAGCACAGAGCCTGATTCAGGGCTGGGTCCCACAAACCGTGAGATCATGACCCGAGATGAACTCGAGTCGGAGGCTTAACCGAGCGAGCCACTCAGGTGCACCAGAGCATCCAGCTCATGATCTCAGGGTCCTGAGTCTGAGCCCCATGTTCGGCATGGAGCCTGCTTAAAATAAATTAAAAAAGTTTCCTTTGTATTTATTAGTTTTTGTTATGAACAGGTGTTGACTTTTGTCAAATATTTCCTGCACCTGCATCTATTTTCTCTTCTTTCCGAGCTATAATTGACATACCAGAAGATTCACCCTTTTACAGCTACCTGTCCGCAGGTGCTCCCAATGATCAGCCTTGTGGGCTGGTTTCTCCTCCCCTCTACCACCCGCTGTGCCCGGGGTTTAGACCTGCGACCTTCTCTGCCTTTATCTACGGCCGGCTGCCCTGGTGGCTGCACTTAGCTGGCTGGATTCGAGCATCACCTGCATACCCGTGACCCCAGGTTTACGGCTGCAGCCTGGATCTGCCCCTCCACCTGTCTGCCATCACCCCCCAACGCCTGCTTCTCCTTCCCCAGCTCACGTGAGGGCAACTTCATCTCTCCAGGTGCCCAGGCCAAAAATCTCAATCATTATGACCCTCTGTCGCATGCCTTGGGCTACCAGCAGGTCCTCCTGGCTCTTCTCTTCAAGGGATCCGGGCTCTGACCACCTACGTTCTCCAAGCCACCTCCTGCCTGGATTATCGCTAACGTCCTGCTCTCCCCGTTACCTCCCTTCTCTGCACAGTGACTAGAGTGACCCTGTTAAAACCCAGGTGGGGTCCTGTCACTATTTTGCTGAAACTCTCCAAGAGCTTCCTGTGTAATTCAGAGAAGCAGCCAGAGCCCTTGCAGTGGCCGGCAGGGCACGGGCAGCCTGACCCCCCCCCCCCCATCTCATTGTTCAGTCTGCACCTGCCGCTCGGGCTTCCTGGCTATTCCCATAACGTGCCAGGCACACGCCCGCCTCAAAACCTGTGTTCCCTGACTGTTCTTCCTCTGGACCCCACCCCCACCCCCACCCCCACCGCCGTGTGGCAATCCACAAGGCTAACTCCCTTCTTTTCTCTCAAGCATCATTTCAGAAGAGAAACTTCTTTGACCATTCTCTTTCAAACTGATCCCCTCCCTCCCAACTTATACTTTATTTTCTCTGTAAGACTTACCAGCTTCTGGCACACTATGTAATTTGTTTATTTTTTTTAAAAATTTGAGTTTTATTTTTTTGACAGTGTCGGGGGGGGCTGGCCTATAGGGAGTGGAAAAGAGGAGGGAGAGGGGGAAGGAGACACAGAGAGAGAGAGAGAGAGAGAGAGAAACTAAATCCTAAGCAGGCTCCACGTTGCCTGAGCAGAGCCTGACATGGGTCTTGATCTTATAAAGCCAAAATCAAGAGTTGGATGCTTAACCTACTGAGCCATCCAGGAGCCCTTGTTTATTTTTAAAACTTGCCTGTCTTTTTACACACCCCCTCCCCGATCAGAACTCTAGCTCCGTTAAAAGGGTTATTGATGTTTATTACTGATGTATTCCATCCACTCTCTCCTTCAGTGCTTGGCACATAAATGGTCCCAATGGTGCCCAATAAATGGTGAATGAATGAACCCTGCTCTGTTACACCCGCATACGAAGCCCTCGTTGATGAATTACCCCGACGGGGGACTGAAGGCTCAGTTGGAGAGTTTCTGCACCTGATCTGTTTCCCTGTAACTGTCGCCCACGGCCTTAGCTTAGCGCTGGACCCCGGAAGGAACAAATGTGCTCCCTCCTCTCCCAAGGGATCGCCCTTTAGCTCTCTGAGGACTGTGGTGTCATTTCCATCACTCACTCCTCAAGGTCTCATCTGCTTCCCAGTTTGGTCACCTCCTCTGTACTCTGCTTTATCTGTGTTTCTTAAAGTGGGTGTCTGGAGTTGAACCCAGCATTCCAGGCGAGGTTTTACACCGGGTAGAGAGGGGGTAATTTCCACTGCTTTTGTGAAAAATGTTCCTGCCTACTTAAAACCAAGTTTCACCAGGGCACCTGTGAGGCTCAGCTCAGGATCTCACAGTTGGTGAGTTCCAGCCCCACATCCCCCTTGCTGCTGCCTGCTTGTCAGCACAGAGCCCCCATCGGAGCCTCTGTCCCCCTGCTCCTCCCCCGCTTGCACTCTCATAAACAAATAAACATTAAAAAAAAAACCCACATAACCAAGACACTACTATCACGTCTAAAAAAGGGAACAATTCTTTAACTTCGTCAAATACACATTTTGCCTAATTTTAAAACATACTTAAAACAGTCCCACACACATATACACACTCCAATCATTTCAGGCAAAAATACAGTGTCTTAGGGGCGCCTGGGTGGCTCAGTTGGTTGAGCGTCCGATTTCGGCTCAGGTCATGATCTCACGGTTAGTGGGTTCGAGCCCCGCTTCGGGCTCTGTGCTGACAGCTTAGAGCCAGGAGCCTGCTTCGGATTCTGTAACTCCCTCTCTCTCTGCCCCTCCCCTGCTCACGCTGTCTCTCTCTCTCAGAAATAAATAAAACATTAAAAAAAATAGTGTCATTAGCGGATGTTAACTTTTTTTAGCCTCATAAAAACCCAGTGCTTAAGACGCAGCTGTTGCTTTTGCTGAACGAGTTAAGATTTGGCCAGGACCGTCACCATTTTCCAGATGGGGACAATGAAGGTTTGAAGAGCGGCTGGTAGCCTGGGGGCAATGGTAGAGCACAGGCGTCTGCGGCGGGACCCGGGGGTCCAACTCTCTTCTCCCACCTCCCTTCTGCGTGACCCCGGGCAAGTTACCTAAGCTCTCTGAACCGAGCCTCAGTTGGCTCCCCCGAGGAACACAGGGTCTGCAGAGAAGTTGAAGGGCTGCCGTCGGTAACTAAGCTACTAACTAAAGGAACAGGGGTGCGAACCCCGGTTTCACCCATGGCCGTGCCGGCGCTGTATGCACCGCATCAGAGGCAGCGGTCAGCGCCGAAGGCACCGGGGCGGACACAGGCGCGCACGCCCCGCTCCCTCCTCTCACCCCGCCGCCCCGGGCTCACCCGCTCCGGGCCGTGCGGCGCTCAGGACGCTGCGGCTGCAGGCGGGCACCAGCCGCCCGAGGGTGACGCGCACGGCCCGCGCAGCCACGGCCGCCGCCATCTTCCACAGCCTCGGCCGGAAGCGGAAGCGGCGGCGGCAGCGGAAGCGGCTCGAACCTTGTGCGTCGACGCACCGGGCCCGGCGGGGAACTCCGCCGCGCGCCGCAGCCGGACCTCTGCCGGCCCGGTTCCCCGCCAGGCGGCGGCCATGGCCTCGGCGGCTGTGGAGAGCTTCGTGAGCAAGCAGCTGGACCTGCTGGAGCTCGAGAGAGACGCGGAGGTCGAGGAGCGCAGGTACGGGGTGCGCAGGCCGGCCTCGGGCAGGGATGTGCCCTCCTGCCCCCTGAGTCCCGCCCGCGGCGCTGTGTGTGTGTGTGTTGGGGAGGGGGGGACTCGGCCTCCTCTGGAGATGGGATCTTGTCGCCTCCCGGGTGGCCTGTGCTGGTTTGGGGCCTTCAGGAAGACCCTTCTTTTTGGCCTGGAGCCCCCACCCCCGAGCTCCCAGTCCCAGGCCTTGCCTTTGCCCCCAGCGCCTCCTCAGCCCTTTGCCTCTTTCGGGGCCAGGCGGGTGGGAAGGCGCGAGGATGCGGCCGCATGGGCCCTGCTCTGGGCGGGGGGTGGGGCTGGGCCTAGGCCTGGGTAGGGGTGGACCTGGGTCTGGACCTGAGCAGAGATGGGCCTGGGCCTGGGCAGGGGGTGGGCCTGGACCTAGGCCTGGGTAGGGGTGGACCTGGGCCTGGGCTTGGACAGGGGGTGGGTCTGGACATGGGCCTGGGCTGGTGGGTGGGCTCGCCTAGACCGTTTCTTCCAGCCAGAAGCACTCGTGCTATATGTGTGGAAAGGGCTGTGCAAGTGCTGATGGGAGACTGGGGAGGGCGAGGCTAAGACTGGCTTTGGGGGCAGGTGGTGCCTGAGCAGAAAAACAGGAGTGAAGGTTTCCTGGATGGAGGAGGAGGGGAGGATGAGATGTGGGCAACATTGCACCTGATGTTGGGCATCCCAGATAGCTGGCTTGCTTCTCACCGCGAATATTCATTTAGCTGCAGCCATCACGGCCAACGCCTATGGAGCGCTCGCTGTAAACGCTCTTTCCAGACCTTCGTTCCTTTACACCTCAGTGTTCTCATCTGGTGCAGGAGGAGGCTGTGACAGTGGCTCAGGACCTTGCCCAGGGCAACAGGTGGAGTCAGGATCGGAGGCCAGGCAGTCTGATTCCGGGGTCTGCACTGCAGACATCGGTGGGCTTGGGCGGCAGGCTTTAGGTTCGAAGATGAAGAGTTTTGCAGTCAAACCGACCTTGCTAGAGCCCCAGCTCCTCCGTGTGTGGCTGTGTGACTCTGCAGGTTGTCTCTGAGCCTTAGCCACCTTGCCTGGAAAGTGGGATCATTCCCACCTCAGGGGTTCACTGGGAGCACAGAGTGGCCTGCTGTCAAGTGCACAGCTCAGCACTGCTGCAGAGGGAGCACCCACAGAAGGTGGGCGTCGGTCAGAGTGAGGAGGGTCTTGCGGGTGAGCTTGTGGTGTATCCCGCGTGCAGAGGCTGGCTCTCCGCACAGTTCAGTGGGTGCGGTAGTCACCTTAGAGGTAGAATGTCCAGTGACTCTGCTAGCAAGATGGTTTATTTGTAATGGCAGAGCATTGCCGTTCTGGACAAGGACCTTGTGGCATGAGCTCTAGGCTGGTGTGACAGGGGAAGGGGGGGAGGACCTTTATCTCATGCAGGAAGGAGTTGGGAGGGTTGTTTCGAACTGAAGCCCATTATGGAAGGACAGGAGTTCGGGGAAAGGACCGCTGCTCGCCGGCCGCATCCAGGGGTAACGCATTTCTTGGAGGAGACGCAGGGTGCACCGTTCCCGTTGTGGGATGGGGGATCTTTTCCTGTGGGGGGTCCGTCAGTGACATCTGGAGGTGCAGCCACCTTCCTGGCCTCCCCGCTGCGTTTCAGTGAGGTTTCCCTTTCTTCATGTTCACGGGGTGGGGGGGTGAATAGATCGGTGTTTTGAGTGTGTTGCTTGGGGCTGGATAGGGCAAGCCGCAGAGGTGAGGCAGTTAGGAGGTGCGGTCGAGCCCAGACGATGAGTGGTGTGGGTTGGACCAGGGTTATGATGGGGAGGACGGAGGCAGAGGTGGACTCGTGAGGGTAACATAAATGGGGGTGGGGGTGGGGAGAGTACTGATGGACTTAGTGACAGGTGGGAACCCAGACGTGCAGAGCAGAGCAGGTCAAGAAAGTAGCTCTATGGGCAGGAGGGGGCGCGAGGGGACTCCCCCCTTATGTCTTCCTTTGTGCTTGTGCACAGATCTTTGTTTTTCTCTCCCTTTCTCGCTCCTCCCGTATGGGCGGAGGCACAAGCTGGTGAGGTGTAGACCTTGAACTCCGTATTGGGTCTCTTCCAGGTCATGGCAGGAAAATGTTTCTCCAAAAGAACTGCAGAGCCGAGGCGTCTGCTTGCAGAAGCTGTGGGTGTCCAGCCAGCGGACTGGCCTGTACGGGCGTCTGCTGCTCACCCTCGAGCCCAGGAGGTGCGCGCCGGCCGCCGAGCTTCCCAGCAACAGCTTCACTTCCGGTTGGTGCTTGCGTGACGTGCGCGTGTTATGTCCCCAGGCCCTAGGCCGCGGCTCCCGCTCTCGTAGGCTGGGTCACACAGGACTAACGGGAGAATAAAGCGTCACAGGGAGGACGTCTTGGTTAGACATTCACCGGCCACGTGGCATTTTGGTAGCCCAGGGCAGCACTGGCCGCGCGTGGGCATCAAACGCTTGGGACGTGTGGCGTGATTGTCGTGGGTGCTCCGTGCTCGCTGAGCTGGAGCTCAAGTGCAGAAATGCTTAGACTGTCTGCAGGGTAACGGTGTCTTTCGTGCATTGAGTTAAGCGTATTATTGTTAAAATCTCTTTAAAACAACTTATTTTTCGTGGTGACCAGAGAGCCTGGCATTACGCGTGCCCGTCCCCGGGTGGGTCTCGGGCCACCGTGGGTGCTGAGTGTCCTTGGGGCACATGGGCGGGCCCTGCCCGAGGGGAGCAGCGGCTGACCCTGCGTGGTACTTGCTCTAGAAGGCTCCCCTGTGGTGACAGGGTTTGATTTCATACTCGGATTTCCCAAACCCCTGCCCACAGTTGTTAGGGGGCGGGCAGGATTTGGAGATGGGGGGGCTGGAGGGGCTGCTGCCTGCAGCCAGGTCTTCCTGTTCTCGTTAAGCGAGCCGTAGAGCTCACCACTGCCTGCCTGCCGCGGACGGGGGGCCAGGGGCGCAGGTGGGGGCCTGGGGCGCGGCTGGGGGCCCGGGGTGTGGACGGGAGTGTGGACGGGGGCCGGGGGCGCCATAGCGGCACCTTTCCACTTCGCCTTCAGGGCTGGACGTCCGTGCAGAGGGTTGTAAACTCTGAAAACCAAAAGTGAAAACGCATTCAGTAGCCTGTATGGTTAACAGGCCTCACGGAGTGCGATCCAAGGGGTTGGCAAATGGTTCATAAGTGGGAGTCAGAGGCAGTGGCATCGGGTGGAAAAGTCTGGAGCAGAGAATCTGATGTGGCGCTCCGGATGACGCCGGACTGAGGCGGAGCCGGTACTTTCTCACCTTCCAAAGAGCAGTTGTAAGGCTCAGCTTAGAAACCGAAATTGTTTTATTTTATTAAAATACTTTTTTAACATCTTTATTTATTTTTGAGAGAGAGAGAGAGAGAGACAGAGCGCGCGGATGAGCCAGCAGGTGAGGGGCAGAGAGAGAGGGAGACACAGAATCGGAAGCAGGCTCCAGGCTCTGCGCTGTCAGCACAGAGCCCGATGCGGGGCTCGAACTCACCAACTGTAAGATCATGACCTGAGCTGAAGTTGGACACTCAACCGACTCACCCAGGCGCCCCTAGAAATGCAAATTCTGGGACAGGGCCCTATTCAGGGCGCCAGTGGGGAGGTCACGGTAGGGGTGTGTCCTCCATGCTCAGCCCCGTGGTGCACACACAGCTGGGCTCTGTCCCCGGAGCATCATTGCCGTCTGCTGTTTATAAAGTGCAGGAGGGAAAGGTCTAAGGTGCAGGTGACACTCCGTGCCTGGAAGGGAAACACCGCAGGGTGACGAAGCGCCTGGTGCCGGGTGCCATGCGGTGCACCCTTGCGGACACGGGAGGACTGGGGTGTAAGCGCGCGAGTGGTTTAGCTCAGAGCGGAGTCTGTCTTGGTCAGAGGGTCTTCCATTCTGGGTGATGAACACCCAGGCCAGGGCGGCTTGGGCGCACGGGCTGCGCGACGCCAGAAGGTTGGGTCCAGGGCTCATGAGAGGTCACTTGGACTTCTCTCCATTTCTTGGCTTTGCCCTGTCCGGGGTGGCTTCCTCCTCGGGTGACACACAACAGCAGCTCTAGCCCCTCTGTACCCTCAGGTCTCTGGCCGAGCCGGACAGGGAGGGCCTCTTTCCCAGGCGCCACACTCCAGTCTCACTGCAGTCAGGGGCTCAGATTTGGTCCCGTGTCATCTCTGAGTGGTTGCTGTGGCCGGGACACGGGAGCAGTGACTGGCTTGGGCGTAGGTTGTATGCTTCGTCCCTGGCGTCAGGGAAGCCCCTCTGAGTCACCCAGTGGACGGGCGAGTCACCCAGCAGTTACTGAGGGAAGTGGGGAAATCCGTGCTGACTGGGCAGCAGATGACCTCTGTCCCTCCATCGATGGTCCGCTTCTGCCTGGAATGTCCTCCCCTCGATGTGCTTGTGGCCCCCACTTCATTCAGGGCCCTTCCTACTTACCTGGCGCCACTCAGGGGCCCTCGCATTACCCTGTTTCTAAAATGACACCCTCGGGGCGCCTGGGGGCTCAGCCGGCTGTGCGCACGACTCTTGATTTCGGCTCAGGTCTCGATCTCACGGTTCAGGAGTTTGAGTCCCACGTCGGGCTCTGTGCTGACAGTGTGGAGCCTGCTTGGGACTCTGTCGCCCTCGCTCTCTGCCCCTCTCCCACTCGTGCACACGCTCTCTTTCTCTCAAAATAAAAAAATTGAAAGTAAATAAAGTGGCACCCTCACCGCTCTCCACCCCCTCCCAGCCGCATCATTCCTTGAGAAAGTGCTGACATTTGTGTCATTTCTGATCGGACCAGCGCCTGGCACAGAGTTGCCACTTTAAATGCTGTATTGACTGGCATGTTTGTCTTATTTTTTTTTTTATTAAACATTTATAAAAAATATTTATTTTTGAGAGAGAGATTGAGAGAGAGGTGGACAGAGGATCTGAAGTGAGCTCTGTGCTGACGGCCGAGAGCCTAATGCGGGGCTCGAACTCACAAACCATGAGACCATGACCCGGGCTGAAGTTGGAGACTTAACGGAGCCACCCGGGCGACCCTGGAGTGTCTGTTTCAAACAGTTCATTGATCTCAGGTCAATTTTTGTGTATAATTTAAATGTCTGTTAGAAGGTTTTTACTGCTACTGATTTCGTTGCTAAAGAAAGTTAACAGGATGTTTGAAATAATGGTGGAATTTATTGTAGAAAATAACTCACAGTTTGACTCGGCCCAGTGTTTGTATAACTTGAGCCGCTGTTTCCGTAGGCGACATAGTGGGTCTGTATGACGAAGGAGGTCAGCTGGCCACGGGGATCCTGACCCGGATCACGCCCAGATCGGTCACGGTGGCCTTTGACGAGTCCCATGATTTCCAGCTGAGCTTGGACACAGAGCCCGCCTACAGACTGTTAAAACTTGCCAACGACGTCACTTACAAGCGGCTGAAAAAGTAAGGGCGAGTGTGACTGCGAATCCCATGCGCTTTTCCCCTAAATGCGGCTCGCTCACTCCGGCCGCCCGTCCTGCGGTGGAAAGGGGTGCAGTCGAGTCGAGTCTGGAGTCGTTCGGTGCCCCTCCCGGGGGTGGTGGCTGCAGGCGGCTGTGCTGGGGTAGGGGGCGGGGGGCTTGGGCGCTGGGTCCACAGCTGGTTTTCACCCGGCTCCTGATTCTCCCTTCTCTCCCCGGCCAGAGCCCTGGTTACCCTGAGGAAGTATCACTCCGGCCCCGCAGCCTCCCTCATCGAGGTCCTCTTCGGCGGGTCCCCCCCCAGTCCTGCCTGCGAAATACGTAAGAGCCCTTTCTCTCCTGGTCGACGTCACTCAGAATACCGAGGGCACAGTGACTGGGGTGTTTGAGCAGGGGGCTGAGGGCGCACAGAAGGAACCTGTGTCTTTCTGTAAGTTTCTTTGAGTGACGTGTGGGCTGGACTCACCTGTACTCAGTGCAGAGAAGCAGCTCGTTCCACTGACTTTTCAACGTTCTGTCGAACGTTTCTCAGCACGTGTTGTGAAGGGTAAGGATGTTCGCGAAGCCCTCACCCGGCAGTCGCGTTTTGTTTGTTTGAAAAGTCCCAGTTCTGACCGTGTTTTGTTACTTCTTGGCATCTTTCAAACTGCACGTGTTCTGGTCTTTTCCATGTACAGACGCACGTGCGCACACACGCTCCCCTTCCTCACCTGCACTTTCGCACACCCCTCAGCGGTCTTGAAGAGCCTCGGTTTTGAGGGGGCTAGTTGTGTCCCCAAGTGCCACCTGCAACGCCGCGGTCCCGGTGTCCTGACTCACCGGTGCTGGGCCTTCCCTGCCGTCCCGGCGGCTGGGCTTGTCCACGCCCTCGCCACACCATGCCTGCGCCGACCACCCAGCGCCCTTTGTTCTTATTTTCATTTTTATTTATTTTTTGAGAGACAGAGTGAGCGGGGGAGGGGCAGAGAGAGAGGGAGACACAGAATCCGAAGCAGCTCCAGGCTCTGAGCTGTCAGCACAGAGCCCGACGCGGGGCTCGAACTCGTGATCTGCAAGATCATGATCTGAGCCGAAGTCGGACACTTAACCAACTGAGCCCCCCAGGCGCCCACAGCCCCCTTTAAAGACAGGGCTGCCATATGGTGCTTTTCCAGATTCTCCAAGCACTCCCGTCTCAAAGTTTTATTCTGCCACATATTTATCGAGAGGGTGCTATGCACCAGAAACCGAATTGGAAGTTTATTTGCCCTGTTTTAAGGAGCACAGTCCATGGCAAGTATCTAAGTAACAGGGATGCAGTGGGAAGAGGCAGGGCTGGGACACGGGGTCGGGTCGCTGGCGCTTCCCAGGCTGGCTGCAGTGTGGCCCGGCTCGGCCAGGGCACTGGGCCCGGAAGCTGTGCTCACTGGCGGCTGGGTGTCCCCGCTCGGCGGGTGCCCTGCAGCGGGCGCAGTGGGGCTGGAGCTGGACGCACAGGGTCTGCACTTGGAGCACGGAGCACGCGAGGCAAATACGTGGTCTTTGCCGTGGAAGCTGCAGCATAGAGACGGGATTCTGGAATTTGCTCCTGTCTCATCTTCTGTTATTTCATGGGCACTTACGAGGGGACGCCGTGGCAGAAGTAGAATCCCAGAGACATTCACTCCAGAATGGCCTTTTGTTGGGGAGCGCGAGTCGGCCAGTGTTTTGAGTAAAGGCCCAGGTGGTGTGTGGGTGTGTTAGGCCTCGTGGGCCAAGGTGGCAGCAAGCAGCCAGAGGCCGTGTGTCAGTGAGCGCGTGGCCGGTTCTGGTGGGGCCGGGCTCCTGAGAACGGGCAGCAGGTGGAGGGGCCTGTGGTCCAAGCTGCTTCCTGTCCTGGGAGGAACCTTCTGGAGATTAAGCAGGTGGACTTTGTGTGGATTGGCCGCCTCCCGGGAGACCCAGGGGTTGGGTGCTAGGCCCTTCCTGCCGCCTGCGCCGCTGCGTGCAGGGGGGAGGCGCGGCTGAGCCTGATGGTGTTGCCTCTCCCACAGAGCTGCCGCCCTTCTGGAACACCTCCCTGGACGCCTCCCAGCAGGAAGCCGTGTCCTTCGCGCTGTCCCAGAAGGAGCTCGCCATCATCCACGGGCCGCCGGGCACCGGGAAGACCACCACTGTGGTCGAGATCATCCTTCAGGCCGTGAGGCAGGGCTCAAAGGTGGGCGCGGGCGCCGGTGCCTCGACAGCGCCCCTGGGCTCTGCATGCCTGGCCTGCAGGAGCTCAGCAGGGTCCCAGCCTGCGCTCTGGGACTGGAACATTCCGAGCGGGGGCTGATTGGGCGCTGGGCTGGGCCCTCTCTAGTTCCTGACGGCTGCGGGGCGCCAGTCCTCGGGGCTCCGCCCTGCACACTTGCCCCGCCCCCGCCCCGCGTCCTCGGGAGCCCTGTGGCGGGTGGAGGGACACAGACGTGTGCGATGAACAGACACGCTGCCCGTGTGTGGTGCCCAGGGACCGCTTTGCCGCGGCGCAGGGCACGAGGTCCTGTGGTGTTAACTCGCGTACGTTTCCCGGGTCCCGGAAGGGTCTGTGTCAGCGTGTGCGTCACCGTGAGTCATCGTGGGTTCTGAGCACGTGGAGAACTTTCAGAAAGTCTTTCTCATCTGTAAATGTCAGGCGGTGACGAGAATTAGAATGATAACGGTCAACATCTTACTTTATACATTTTACAAAACAGTTCTCCGTCCGTGTGCTTTCCGCGTATGTGCTCAGGTGACCCTCACGGTGTCCCTGGCCGCTGGGGACCGTTGGCACCCCCAGTTCCCAGGGGAAACCGAGCACTGAGGGCCCGTGCCCCGGTCACAGTGGGCGGCAGGGCCAGGGTTTGAACTCGGGCAGGCACGCTCTCCGGAGCCTTTGCGCCTCACGCCTCTCTGCGGGCCGAGCTGCTGCTGAGAGCGCAGGGAGGTCTGTCCCTCGGTCACAGAGCCGGCCGGTGGCTTCTCCAGGCGGGTGTCACCTGGAAACTGGATAAATGACCGTTCAGTAGCGGGAAGCAGGTCTGGGGGTTTGATTGTGTGCCTTCTGCCTCTGTGAGCGGTGAAACAGGGGACGCTGTTCACGCTCAGGCCCTCGATGGGGGCGAAGGCGATGGCGGGGGGTGCTTACTGCTGAGCCTTGTGGGGGGCCCTCCTCTCTGTTTCCTCTGCAAATTGCTACTTTTGGTTTTTAAAGTTTATTTTGAGAGCGCGAGAAACAGCGCGAGAGCACGCGCATGTGTGTTTGCGATGGGGATGGGCAGAGGGAGGAGGAGAGAGGGGACCCCGAGCAGGCTCCATGCTGTCAGCGCAGAGCCCGACGCGGGGCTCGAACTCACGAACCATGAGATCGTGACCCGAGCCGAAGTGGAGAGTTAGATGCTCCTCTGACTGCGCCCTGATGCCCCCGCAGCACGTTTCCTGTGTCCCCCCCCCCCGCCACGTGCTCGCGTCTGTGTGTTTATGCTTTGACGTGACCACTTGTAAATGCTCGTCCCTGTCTCGGCCTTCAAGGCCTCTGGTTCATTCTTGTGTGAGCTTGAGTGGTTAGAGGAGTCACTGACTGTGAGCCTTGCGTCCCCAGGTCCTGTGCTGTGCTCCCTCTAACGTCGCCGTGGACAACCTGGTGGAGCGGCTGGCGCGGTGGCGGCAGAGGGTCCTGCGCCTCGGGCACCCTGCGCGGCTGCTGGACTGCATCCAGCAGCACTCCCTCGACGCCGTGCTAGCGCGCAGCGACGCCGCCTCGATCATCGCGGACATCAGGAAGGACATCGACCAGGCCTTCGTATGTCCCTGCCCAGCAGCCACTCTGTGCGGCTTCTCGTCCGTGGTTTCTCCTGGGAGCCACTTCTGTCTGCGTTTCTCTGCTTTTCTTTGGCCTCTGTCAGCTCATTTAAGAATTTCAAACATCCAGGGACACCTGGGTGGCTCAGTCGGTTAAGTGTCCAACTTCCGCCCAGGTCGTGATCTCACGGTTCATGGGCTTGAGCCTCACGTCGGGCTCTGTGCTGACGGCTTGGAGCCTGGAGCTGCTATGGATTCTGTGTCTCCCTCCCTCTCTACCCCTTCCCCAGCTCATGCTCTGTCTCTCTCTTCCTCTCTCTTTCAAAAATAACTAAAAGTTAAAAAATTTTTTCAAACATCAGGATGGCCCATTACAAAAATTTCCCCCCAGTTTTATTAAGAAAGGAAGGGCTGCCTGTTGTTGGTAGAGACTGTGCTCAGGACTCGATAGGGACCTGACTGCTGCCGGAGCTCCGTGAGGAGGTGAGGGACGGCCATGAGGAGGGCCTCTCTCTCCAAGCGCCCCTGCATCGGGCTTGTCGGCAAGAAGAAACCCAGCAGCCTGAAAGTAAAGATTCAGAAAATACTTGTCCCAGCAGGTTCTGGTCCATTTTACAGTCTCCCTGTGGGAGGGAGGCAGCAGGTGGCCGGTCAGGTGGAGTCGGGGCTCCGGGGCCCCGTGGTTCTGTGACGCAACGTCCGCTCCGTTTGTCACCAGGCCTCGAGGCCTCATGTGGGTGTGGCCTCCTCCGTGTCCCCACCCCACAGGGCCGTGGCTGTGAGTCAGCCTTCCCGGGGGCCTGAGGGATCGTGGATGGCACATGGGCTGCCGGCACAGCCCGGCAGAGGTGGGGACGGGATGAAGATGTGTCATTGAGAGTAGAGGTGGCCTGGGCATGCGCACTGATGGCCTCTCCTCCACTTCATCAGTGCTTTTCAGGATCCTCTCGTCCATGGGGGGGGGCACAGTAACCCCATCCCCGCTCCCACCCCCCGCCGGCCCTGCCAAGCCCCGGGCTCTGGAGCAGAAACCAGATAAGGAAGGGTCCCTCTCAGCGTTACAGGGCGTCGGGTTAGGTGAGCGCCTCGCGGGCTGAGGAAGACCCGTTAGTCTCTTGCAGACGGGAGTCGGAACCGGGGCGCAGCGTCTCCTGGCAGCGGCTGACGCCCGGGGCCGACAGGTGTCCCCGGGTGCACGAGCGTGCGCGGCGATCCCGTGCAGGGTCCGCAGGGCCCGGTTTCTGGTTTTGTGTGAGTTTACGGGTCGGCTAGCCGTCTGCTTTGAGGACCCGGCCTGTGCCTCGCCGCCTCTCCCCGTGCAGGCGACGCTGGCTGTGAGGCCACGGAGGCCACCAGGCGCTTGGTGGCCTGCGTGTATCCGTTGCTCCATCGAGAAAGGTTTTTCACATCTTGGTGCCTCCCGAGGAGCTCCGTGAAGCGGGCCCACTGGCTATAAACACAAGCACTTCGGGAGCAGAAAAGAGCTAAGCAGGTGCAGAGTCACGTCCAAATATTTATGTTTTCTTGGCTTTCCTTTGTAGGCGAAGAACAGGCAGACCCAGGGTAAGAGAGAGAAGAGCAGTTTCTGGAATGAAGTCAAGCTGTTACGGAAGGAGCTGAAGGAGAGGGAGGAGGCCGCCACGCTGGAGAGCCTCAGGTCGGCCGCCGTGGTGCTGGCGACAAACACGGGTGAGGGCAGCCGAGCACCCCCTCGGGCTCCGGGGGTTTGTATAGACCCGTCCGTTGTCCGTCAGTGTTGGGAGGGTTCCCAGGGAAGCCCTGGGCCTGCAGTGTCTTGTAGGAGGTTTCTTTCATCGAATCAGGTACTCGGGTTCCCTCTTGTGCACTGAGCCGGCACCTTCCAAGGGACCTGTTCATTTAATCCAAGCCGTTAATTTATGATCTAAAGTTGCTCGTCGTATCTGCTCACTTTAAACATCCGCAGAGCATCTCTGACGACGTGCCTGTCTCCTTCCTGGGTCGGCAATTTGGAAACCGGGTTCCCCTCCCTCCCCAGGGTTTGCTGGTCTCTGCTTGGAGACTTTCCTGATCTGGTTCCGTGAGGCCTGTGTTCCCTGTCCTGGGTGGTCACTGGCGCCTGTCAGCTGAGGGGCCAGGAAATGATCGGACACGTTTGTTCCTGCTCTGGAAGCAGCAGGTCTCCCGGCCTTTCCCAGGGCCCCGTGCGTGTCGGGACACAGTCCGTGCTCAGCCGGCACCTCACAGCTCAGCCCTCGCTCCCCATTGGGGCAGCAGCAGCAGTGAGCCAGCCGTGACCGCTTAGGGCCTCCTCGGGCCTCGCGTTCACGTGCGTGCAGCCGGACGCGTGTGCGTGGCCTGGGTTCCTGGGGACAGGTTAGAGCTTTTCAAAGTCTCCGTGGACATCTGAGTCCCCAGCTCTCCCTTGGAAATTGTTTAGTTTGCCCGTCACTCACTCTGGTGGCTCTGCAGTGCCGTCGAGAGCTCTGGTGGCTCAGGACAAACGCCTGGGGGAAGGGCTGCCCGCCCGGGGTGGGGGTGGGGGGTGCGCCTCGTCAGGGGAGGTACAGGCAGGCTGAGGACCGGAGTCTCCGGGGGCCGCAGACAGGCCTGGTCACGGCATTCCTCTGGGAATGGGGCCTCGAGGCGGATGGCTGCCGGCTTCAGGGTTCCTGTGGAACGGGGGTGGGGGGGTCGGGGGGGATGCAGGGCCCGGCCCAGAGGGACCCCGGACAGCTTGCTCTTCCTGCCCACAGCAAGCCCTTGTTTTTTTTGAACAAACACTGCCTGGGACACCGCAGGCCCTTGGCTGATTTCTAGAGGGTTCTGAGAAGTTAATTTCCACAGTCGTGCCAGCCTTCTCGTTGCTCCAGTGGGAGGAGGGAGTTCCCAGGGGCCCTCAGGCCGCCCGCTCTGCTGCGGTCCTTCTGCACCCGATCAGATCTTACGGGCCTGGCTCTGCGGGGCCGGCTCGTGGCCGCTTCAGTCCCTCCCGTCCTGCTCGGTGGGGAGCTCGGAGGCCCTCCTGGACGTGCTTCTGTTTGCCCTGCGAAGTCGCATCCGAGATCCGAGCCCACCTCCTAATTACCCAAATTCTGCCTCTGCTAAAGCCTTCCCTGCTGTCCCCCGAAGTCAGCGGCAGGAGATTCATTGAGATACGTTCTGAGTCACATGTGTACGTGTTTTAGTGTGACGTGGGGGGAAGGGCGAGAGCTAACAGAGCAGCTGTGTCCACCAGGCGCGTCTCCCGACGGCCCGCTGAAGCTGCTGCCTGACGGCCACTTCGACCTGGTGGTCATCGACGAGTGTGCCCAGGCCCTCGAAGCCAGCTGCTGGATCCCCCTGCTGAAGGCCAGGAAGTGCATCCTGGCCGGAGACCACAAGCAGCTGCCGCCCACCGTGGTCTCCCCCAAGTAAGACCCTGCCCACCTGGGGCGCCTCGGCCTCACCCCTCCGGCTGTCTCCTCCACACGTTCCCTGATGACGGCCCCTCATGCCCGTATATTTTTAGTGTTTATTTTGAGAGAGAGAGAGAGAATGTGTGTGACAGAGAGTGTGAGCAGGGGAGGGGCAGAGAGAGAGGGAGACACAGAATCTGAAGCAGGTTCTAGCTCTGAGCTGTCAGCACAGAGCCCGACGCGGGGCTTGAACCCACAAACCATGAGATCATGACCTGAGCCAAAGTTGGATGCTCAACTGAGCCCCAGCGCCCGTTTTATTGCACGTATTTGTTGAGAGGTCAGTCGGCCAGGCTGTGTGCTCCTGGGGTCAGGGGTTGGAGCCACCACACACGTTTCTGTAGCATCAGCGCCTGGCGCCGGGCTGGTCTGTGCCTCTTGGACGTTGTTTCTCTGACGAGGCCAGTGAGGCCGACGTGCCCAGTCCTGCCAGGCGGGGTCGAGAGGGGGTGCCCCTGTGGGCAGGCCGAGTGGCCTCCGGTTCAGCAGCTCACAGGCTGGCACAGAGTCTTCAAGGCCTAACCTGTGGCCACGTCCTTGGACCTGGGCCAGGGGGTGACTAGAGACACAGCGGTCCCTGCCGTTGTGACTGAGCTTGCCGCTCCTCCCGCACTGCTTCCGCCTCCGCCCTTGCTGTCCCCGTCTGCACGGGTCTTTCCTGGGTGCAGGGTGGCCGTCCCCTCCCTCCACTCAGTAGTTTCTCAGACGAGCCCACTTCATGGCCTTCCGTGAACACCCTGCCTCAGCACGTTCCCGCTGCCCATGGGCCCCTTCTGCCCTGCCTCAGTATGTCCCTGCCGCCCACGGGTCCCTTCTGCCCTGCCTCGGTGCGTCCCTGCTGCCCTTGGGTCCCTTCCATGCTGCCTTGGTGCTTCCCCACTGCCCGCGGGCCCCTTCCATGCTGCCTCAGTATGTCCCTGCCGCCCACGGGTCCCTTCCACGCTGCCTCGGCATGTTGGGTGCTTCCGTGCTTGTGGTTGGGACCAATAACCACGTCACTCGTTTCTTTGATGCAGTTCTGGGTGGCCGTCCTTATCACAGAAGGTTAACCCCAAGGTCTCACAGGCTCACGGGGGCCTGGGGGGGCTGAGGTAGAACTGGGAGCCATCTGGGTTTAGTATCGCCCCGGTGGGGACAGCTGGAATGCCACTGTGGTTAAGACGGTGGCCCCAGAGCTCACTGGCTGGGCGCCCTGGGCTGCTCACTTAACCTCTCTGTGTTGCACTCTCCTCCTGGGAAGCGGGCAGCGCAGCAGTGACTACTGCCTCAGGTCCTGTAGGGGTTAAGATCACAGTCATAAAGGTTGTGTAGTGGCACCCGGGACACGGGAAGGGCTCGGTACGCACCGGCTGCGGTTACAGTTTGCAACGGGTTACTTGCGGCTGAGCACGTGGGAATGTGAGAAAATTCACCTGTGACAGCTTCTTGTTGCCGCTGTGCTAAGTTACCACATGTGGGTTTATTATCTCGTGGTTCTGGAAATCACAAGTCCAAACCTTCCCTCAGTGGGTTCGAGCCCAGGTGTTGGCCTGGACGCGTTCCTTCTGGAAGCCGCAGGGCTGGATTCATTTCTTAGCCTTTTCCAGCTGGCGGAGGGGCCGCGTCCCTCATGGGCCCCTGCTCACCTGCAGAGCCCCCAGCAGGGCCCCCACTGTCCGGTGGCACCTTCTCTGCCCCTGACCCTCCTCGTGATTGCATCGGGCTCACCTTAGCTTCACACAGGAGGGTCACGCCTTCACAGGTGCCGGGGTCAGGACGGGGCGTCTCTGGGGCCGGTGTTCAGCTGACACATCCTGTACTTTAGGTCGGAACTCGGGCTGCCTTGGGTTCCGAGAACGAGGGCTGGCTTCCGGCCAGACTGGGGGACCCAGGCGCCCTTCCTGGTTCCTCTCTTGACGCAGGGCTGCCGCGGCGGGGCTGGGGCGCAGCCTGATGGAGCGCCTGGCGGAGGAGCTGGGCGCGAGCGTGGTGCGGACGCTGACGGTGCAGTACCGCATGCACCGGGCCATCATGCAGTGGGCCTCGGAGGCCCTGTACCAGGGGCAGCTCACGGCCCACCCGTCCGTGGCGGGCCACCTCCTGCGGTGAGTACTTGGTCGTGTCCTTCCCGGCCTGCCCTGCCTCGTCCTGGTGCCCTGTGTCCCCTGCGTCACTGACATGCTCCGTAAAGGCTTTAACGTCACCCCCGAGGCTGGTTTCCAGGAGGGGAGCTGGGTGGGTGCTCAGGCGCTGGTGCTCTCGGGGCTCCTCGTACCTGCCCCCCCCCCCCGCCCCCAGAGAAGGGCCCGTGCCGGGCGGGGGAAGGGAAGCGAGCATCCTGTCTGTAGGCCCCGCCTCCACGTCGTTGCCTGGCCTCACGTGATCAGTCCGCCTGTGCAGGGACCTCGCGGGAGTGGCCGCCACGGAGGAGACGGGCCTCCCGCTGCTGCTCGTGGACACGGCCGGCTGCGGGCTGTTCGAGCTCGAGGAGGCGGACGACCAGTCTAAGGGCAACCCTGGTGAGCCCGCCTGGGCAGGGCCGGCTCCTTGGTTTGAAGGGACCCCGAAGTACTCTCCGTAAGAAGCAGGGGGCCTGTAACTGTGGACTTCGAGGGAGCTGAGGGGGCTCCTGGCGAGCTGGGGGTTCTGGCCACACAGGAGTGCGCCGTGCCCTCCTCAGCGGGCAGCTCTGCTTCGGGGAGGAGCCGGCCTGGGAGGGGGGGCGAGGGCGGGGGGTGTCTGCTCCCCACGGTCCCAGCCTGCCGGCTTGCACTCGCGCTGCGGGGAGAGCTCTGGGTCAGCCGCGTGGCCGCGTCCTCGCTCACTCCCTCTGGCAGGCCTGCGACCCGGCAGTGCCCCAGGCCGATGCCGGATCCACTGGTCGGGGTGGGCGGGGTCCTGAAGAAACCGGCACTGCTAACACTGACAAGGGTGTCTGGTGCGGTGACCTGGGCTGGTGACCTGGGCCGACGGCCGCTTGCTCCCTGCAGGGGAGGTGCGGCTCGTGAGCCTGCACGTCCAGGCCCTGGTGGATGCCGGCGTCCGCGCAAGCGACATTGCTGTCATCACACCGTACAACCTCCAGGTACGGGCGGCCCCCTCTCTGTCCACGGGGCACGTGTCCACGGGGCACGTGTCCACGGGGCACGGCCACCCCGGAGTGGCCGACGGGAGGGGGTAATTTATCGTCTCTTCTGACTGGAAACTCTGGGTGGAATCAAGCATCTCATGACTGGATCCGGGGCTCATGGGACGTTAGCAAGAGCCTCCGTCTGTCTGTTTTACTTGCCCTGATGCGTCCCCGCCCCATCCTGACGTCAGCCCGCGTCCCCAGTGGCTTCGTGCTGTGGCCGGTTTCCCAGTGGCCCAGGCTGGCCGTCCTTACTGGGCACCTGCCCCCGGGTCTCCAGCCTGACTCAGGTCCGCTCAGGTCCCCACCCCTGAGCTGGTGGCTGCGGCCAGAGCAGGGCCCTTGCCCACCTCTGGGCAGGGGGGCCGGCTCCTTGCAGGAAGGTCAGGGGTCCCGCCTGGAGGAGTCGGGGGGGGGGGGGCAGCAGAATGACCTCACCCGCTCCTGTCTTTTCTGCTCGCATGTTCTCCCTCGGCCCCCGCCTTGTTTGGCGGGAGAGACGCAGCCGCAGCAGAGTGTCATGGGCCCGTGGGGGGTGGGGTTGCCGCCCCTTCCTGGCTCACGGGCGCCACACCTGTAAGGGCGTCTGAGGCAGGCGGCCGTCATGAGACGGTGGAGCTGGCGCGATGGCCGTGCTGGGGCGCCGCTCCCGTCTGAGCTGTTTACGTGCTGTTTGTGGGCTCACGGACACCTGTCCCCAGGAGGCGGAGAGGCTTGGCTCTGCCGCGTGAGGCCCTCTGCGGAGTTCAGGGGCAGAGTGTCGGGGCCGCCCTGGCCTGCGCCGCGACCAGAACACGGCCTTGCTTGGTGTTTCAGGTGGACCTGCTCAGGCAGAGCCTTGCTCACAGGCACCCTGAGCTGGAAATCAAGTCCGTCGATGGCTTCCAAGGCCGAGAGAAGGAGGCCGTGGTCCTGTCCTTCGTCAGGTCCAACAGGAAAGGTAGGCAGGGCTCAGGGAGGCCTCTGGGGGAGCACAGACGTAGACGGTCTGGGGGGTGGGCAGGGGTGGGGCACGGTGAGGCCCTGGCCAGAGGGTCCCAGGGGCTGCCTGTGAGCTGGGTGCTGTGGGTGGGGAGTGGTGTTCTGGGCCGAGGGGAAGGAGGTGGAGGCGGGCAGAGTGCAGGTGTGGGCCCCCCTGGACTGCCTGCCGTGCCCCCCGGGAGGTGCGGGCCCCCCGAGTGCAGAGCCCGGCTTTCGGCCTCGAGGTGAAGTTGGCCGCGGGGCCTGGTGTTCGCGCGGCAGCCGTCTGTGGGAAGTCCATCTGCTGGGAGCGTTGGTCGAGCTGGTGGAGAAGTTACCGGGGCGTCCCTCTCACTCTTTGGGGTGTCGGCCGCAGTCACCCTCTGGGCTTGGCGAGCTGGGGTCGGGCAGCAGGAGGTCTGCCCAGGTGTGGTGGCACGGTGGAAGGGTGCTGGCTGGTCCCTACGGCGAGCCTTCCCACCCACGCCTGGCTCGTTCCTAGGTGAAGTGGGCTTCCTTGCCGAGGACCGGCGGATCAACGTGGCCGTCACCCGTGCTCGGCGCCACGTGGCGGTCGTGTGTGACTCGCGCACTGTTAACAACCACGCCTTCTTGAAGACCCTGGTGGGTCACTTCATGGAGCACGGGGAGGTGCGCACGGCCTTCGAGTATCTTGACGACATCGTCCCTGAGAACTACTCCCACGAGGGTTCCCAGGGCCACGGCCAAGCCGACGCGAAGCCCCGGGGCCCTGCCGCTTCCTCCAGGAAGCCTGCTCGGGTAGGGGCCCCGGAGGCCAGGCTGGAGCAGAAGGCACCTGGTAGGGGGCCCGTGGGCCCTGAGGCCGGTTCTCAGCCCCGCGTCCGAGGAGGCAGCCCGGAGGCAGCGGACGGCAGAGACGGCGTGGCCCACTTCAGGGCCAAGATCGCGGAGTTCATGGCGAGCGAGGAGGCTCGGCTGGAGTTCCCGGCGTCCCTGAACTCGCACGACAGGATGTGGATCCACCAGATAGCGGAGGAGCTGGGGCTGCGGCACGACAGCAGCGGCCAGGGCAAGAAGAGGTTCATAACCGTGAGCAAGAGGGCCCCGCCCGCCCCGCCGCCCCCCGCCGCCCGCCCCCCGCAGGCGGAGCCCCCTCCCGGCGAGCAGAGCGGCCGGGCAGCCCCGGACCTGAAGGCCCTGCACCTGGAGAGGCTGCAGCGGGAGCAGGAGCGGCAGGCCTAGCGCTCAGGGCCGCACAGGGTCTCGGAGAAGAAAAAGAAAAAAGAAGCAAACGGTGAGCGGGTTTACCTGTTGAGAACACAAGCTCGGTGTCCCCTTAACGCGGGTGTTTGCCTCGTTTGACCCCCCGGTGCCGCCACCGTCAGAAAGAATCGTGACTCTCTCGGTGCCACTGCCCTGATTCCACGTCTCGTGCCTCGTGTTTAACCAGTCACTACACGCGAGCTCCCTGAGCGCGGCTGGTCCCTGTGACCTCTGCGTCCCCAGCTCCTCAGGCAGGGCCAGGCACTTACGGGGGGGGGGGGCACACAGGAGCCCGCGGGCAGTCACACACCTGCGTGCGGGCAGGGCCTTGTTCCACTCGCAGCCGAGCTCACACGTCCGCCGTCTTGCCTCCCGGGTCCCAGGAGGGGCCGTGTGCATCCTGCGCGGCCCCCGTCCCGCACCGCGGTGGAGGGGCCCCGGCTTGAGGCCCCGGTGGGCGCAGCGTGGATTCCTGGGAGACCCAGCCCGTGTCGTCCGTGCAGGACCACGGAGCCCCTCGCGTCCTCAGTTTTCACTGAACCCCTGGGAGCGAAGCGGCCCTGTGCCCAGGCATGCGTGTTCCGGCAGAGGAGGAAAGTCAGATGCCCTTCTAAACCGCACCGAGAAGGTGCCGGGTGCCGGGCAGAGCAGGCGCCAGGACAGGGTGGCCGGCGGGCCTGGGGGGAGGTGTGTGGTGCGTCCCTGGGGGACAGAGCATCCTGGGGAGGCTTCGCCCTGTTTAGGGACCGCTAGCCCCGCTTAGTCTTGCAGTGTTTCCTCGAGCACCCACCTTCTTTTTTTAAAAAAAAAATTTTTTTTAATGTTTTATTTATTTCTAGGAGAGAGAGAGAGACAGCGTGAGCAGGGGAGGGTCAGAGAGAGAGGGAGTCACAGACTGAAACAGGCTCCAGGCTCTGAGCTGGCAGTCAGCACAGAGCCCGACGCGGGGCTCGAACCCATGAACCGCGAGATCATGACCTAAGCGAAAGTCGGACGCTTCACCGACTAAGCCACCCAGGCGCCCCTCAAGCAGCCACCTTATGATTCCACCCTTGCTCAGGGTCAGAGCATGACCCATCCGGTCGGTCCCCAGAGTCCGTGTTGAGGTCCCAGCAGCTGAGAGGCCGAGGCCAGTCTGAGCGGGTCTTGAGGCCGTGGCTGGACACACCCCACGGGGAAGGGTGCTGCTGAGTGCTGAAGGGCTGCCTGTCCCTCTTGGGGGGGGGGGGTGCTGGGGAATGACAGGTGCGCAGGCCTGTAGGGGAAGCGGTCAGTGCTACGTTCACGAGATCTCGTCTTCTGCCTGGTGCTGGCGCCGTCTGCCGGGTCCCTGTGGCGCGGCCGTTCCCCGAGGTGCCTCCTGCAGGGTCCCCTGATGCTGCTCTGGGGCTGTCAGCACGCCTGCCCCCAGGGCCCCCAGCCCGTCTTGGGAGATGGGGTAGGGGCACATCCCCCTTGCAGGTGACCCTGCCTTTCCAGGGAAGGGCTGCGGCGGGGGCTTGGGAGGCCCGGGTGGCATCACAGCTGCCCCCGTGTCCCCTCCAAGTGTCCCCTCCGAGGCTGACCTGACCTGGGCACCCAGCCCCACGGCACGCCCCTTGTAAGGAGTCGGCTCGGGGAAGCGGCACGCCAGCTCACCTTGTCTGTGCCCGTCACCCCCAGAACCGGCGACAGCCCGTGTTCCCCGCATGTCTGCGTGCGTGCGTGCGGTGTGCACGTGAGCCCCACGGAGCTGCAGGTACACGCCATCTCATGTCCCTTCCCCACTTGTCAGCGTCGTCCTGGAACTTGAAAGGACTTGGGGGCGTGTCTGGTCAGGAACCTTCCGGGCCCTGACGCTGGGGCCCGTGAGTGCGCCGTGGTTCGGCTGCCCATCCCGGGGCGCAGCTCCCGTTTGCTCTTGTTTGTACAGTCGACGTCTGAGGAGCGTCCTTGTGGTTAAACGTGGCCTTGAGTAGGGAGACGTGCTTTTCAGAGGCGCTGCCCGTCCGCCCGGTGCCCCCCCTCCCGGCAGTGACGCTTAGTTACGCGCTCACTGAAGAAGGGCTGCTCCGGGCTGGACGCCACCAGGCTTGACAGAGGTCGCCGCCAGATCACGGAACCCGAAGGCAGGAAGCCGGGTGGCTCGGTGGGGCGGGCGTGGTCCCGCGGGGGAGCTCTCGACCGACTTCCGTGTCCTTCCCCACGTGCGTGACGGTTCTCTCCCCACAGGGCGTGCGGCCGTCGACTTGCCCAGCGAGGACGACTTCGACGCCCTGGTCTCGGCCGCCGTGAAGGCCGATAACACATGCGGCCTGGCCAAGTGCACCGCGAGCGTCGTGACCCTGGGCCAGCTCTGCCTGCACTGCGGCCGCCGCTTCTGCCTCAGCCACCACCTGCCGGAGGTGTGCGGGGACGGGGGTTGGGGGGGGAGGGGCTGTGTCTCCAGGGCTCCCCGGCGGAGGTGCCCCCAGCAGGAAGGGCAGCTGGTCACGAGCTCTGAGGCGGACGTGGCCCGGGCTCGGTTTCTGACGCGTCCCGTTACACCCCAGCTGCTGGGAGTTCTGGACACAGAGGATCATGTTGAAGCGAGTTTGGGGTCTGCCCTGGTTAGCATAGGGGAGGGGGGAGGGGGCCCCCGGCTGGGGTCCCTGCCCTGGGGTGGGGAGAGGGAGGCGCGGACCCGTGGGGACCGGGGTGTGAGAGCGGCCTGTGGTGCTGGGTGCTGGCGGGTGGAGGGCCAGCTGCTGGCGGCAGGAGTGGGGAGCCGGGCTGGGGAGGGCGGGCGTGTGACCCCGGGGAGGGGCCTGGGAGCAGAGCAGGGCGGCAGGGTGGAGGCTGGGAAGTCCTGGGTCTCCCCAGGGCGGACGGTGGGAGCGGGGAGGGGTGTCTGGGCCCCTGCGCTGCTGTAGGTGGTGAGAAGGGGAAGGGGAAGGCCCTGGGGTTTCTGGTGCGGCCGAGGGAGGGTGGCGGTGGTGCTCTCGGAGGGGAGGGAGGGGCAGGGGGAGGGAGGGCACGTGGTACCTGGGGCGTCACCATCCTGGGCCACCTGTGTGGGGGTCCTCGTGGGGTCCCCACGCCCTGGGTCGGGTTGTAGCGCTTGCCCGCAGGGAGCTCTGCCGCCTCTGACCCTGGAAAGGGTGTCTTCCCTCCCTTCCTCCCCCCTTCTCCCCCCACTCTGTCCCCACCTCTTCACCTCTCCCCACCCCTTCCCCTCCCCCCTCCCGCGCCCCCTCCCTCTCCCCTGCTCTCCCCCCACCCTCTCCGCACGCCCCCTCCCCCCTCCCCCTTCCTCATCTTTTCCTCTCTCCCTCCTACAGCACCCCTTCTCTCTTTTTCTCCTTCCTCTCTCTTCCACTCCCCTCCTTCTCCCTCTCCCCTTCTCCCCCTCTTACCGCATTCTCTCCTCTCTCTCCCTCACCCCCTTCTCTCCCTCTTCCCCTCTCCCCCTCCCCTTTCTCACACACAGTCACATGCACACTTTCTCCTCCACACACGCATGCGTGCGCGCACACACACACATATGTAGTTTATTGATGCCTGTTCATAAAACGTATAGTGTTTGAGTTTTATCTAGAACGTTTAGAAACCGCCAGATACAAGGTTTGGGGGGCTGGGGTGCATTACGGGCGCAGCCTGTGCCGGTCCCTGGTCCCGGGCGGAGGGAGCCCGCAGGGGAGAGTGGACCGGGCGCCCCCCGTGCCGTCTGTGGAAGTATCGCATGTGACCGCAGATATGGCTGTGGGCAGGGCCGCGGTCCGTCTGCTCTGAGCTCCTACGCGATGAGGCCCGGGGCCGGGTGGCAGGGGCCTGGCCTCAGCACCCACTCTGTCCCCTGCTCCCCCTGTGACCTGGGCAAAGTCACTTCGCCTCAGCCCTCAGCCCTCAGCCCTCCCTGGTGCCCCGAGGAGCAGGGTGACGCTGGGTGTGGAGGAGGAGGGCCCGGCTTGAGGGCAGAAGGGGCAGGAGTGGGGTGCCCGCTGAGTGGGGAGGGGCCGGGCACTGCGCAGGGTGGTGCTGGGGGAGCCGACGAGCCGTCTCTTCTGGGACCTGGCCAGGCGCAAACTGGGTCCCACCCGCGGTCCCTGGGGAGACAGCAGGGAAGCACAGGCTTTCTGGAAGGAACCATGACTCACGCACGTGGTGCCCGCCGCTGGGGAGGGGCTCAGGGGGCTTCCTCTGTCTTCCTTCCTGCCAACAACAGAAGGGGTCGTGTGAGCCTGTCCTCGAGCAGCAGGGCCACTCCTGGCACGGCCCAAGCGCTGGGGTCAGGTCGGAGAAGACGGCCTGTCACCCGCGGGCGCCTGCTCGGCCTTTGGCTCCGTGCCGTGGACAGGCGGTGTGGCTCGCGGGGGTGACGCTCTGCCTTCGAACGCCACTGCTGGTGGACCTGTGCGTGTCACCCCCCCACACAGTGATGTCCGGTCAGAGGCCGGCGCGGCTGAGCCGAGGGCGGGGCTGGAGGCCGGGTGGGGGTGCTCCCTCGGGCCCCCTCTGGTGCCGGAAGAGCAGGGAGCCCTCCGGGGCCTCGTGCGGGGGCAGCGGGGCCTTTGTCCCCCACTCGGCTCAGACTGCCCGCCTGTCCCCCCCAGATCCACGGCTGTGGGGAGAGGGCTCGCGCCCACGCCCGGCAGAGGATCAGCCGGGAGGGAGTGCTGTACGCCGGCAGCGGGACCAAGGACCGGTCCCTGGACGCAGCCAAGAGGGCGCAGCTCCAGAGGAGGCTGGACAAGAAGCTGGACGAGCTGAGCAGCCAGAGGAGGAGCAGACGGAAGGAGAAGGAGAAGTGACGGGCGGCTCCTTGCACACAGCTCCAGAGCCGCTGTCTTCCACAGAGCGGGGGAGGGGGGAGCGAGCGCCGCTGCTTCCTGGTTCCTCGTACCTGCTCCCCGTGACAGTGTGCAACCTGCCCCACCTGCCTGTGCCACGGCCGGGTGGGGCTCGGGGCCTGTGGGGGGAAGGGTGGCTCCTCCTCCCTGACGCAGGGTGCGCGGGCGTGCGGTCAGGGCCACGTGGTCCTCACCCCCGCCGTGCCCGTGCCTTCCCCCTCCTCGCCAGTCCGGGACCATTGCCCGGTGTGCTCCTTCCTTCCCAGTCAGAACCGAAAACCCCCGCCTGGGTCTTGGGGTGTTGCCGTGAGTGAGGGTCAGTAAGTTCCGCTGGAGACGTGCCTCCGTGTCCCCTGCACTGGCCCGATGCCCCCTCAGACCTCGTACAGGTGAATCCCCCGCGGGGCCGGCTGGCTCTCGGCCCATCAGAGAGAGCGAGCGAGCGAGAGAGCGAGCACCTGAGAACTGGGTGCCTGGAGACGCCCCTCCCGCGCGTCCCCACGCAGCTGCTCACCCTCGTCCGTCTCCCGTCCCCCGCTGGCTGCCGTGAGCCCCCGTCCCACGCGGCAGACACGGCTCGGGCTCCTGCGAGGCCCCAAGCGGGGCTGGTGACGACACCGGGCTTGCGCAAGCCCGCGGGGGGCGTCCCCGGTGCTGTGCCGGCCGCCTGGCTGAAGGGAGCCTCAGGCTGTCCCGTTTTCGTCTCAGGGTCTCATTTGTGTAAACGGGATATAAATTATTTAAGAAATGAATAAAGGTCTATGCATGTCACCCTGTGTTCGTTATGTGTTCACAGGGAACGTGCTTCCGTGTGCCCCATGCAGCTCAGGCTGAGCCGACGTTTGCTCTCCACACTCGGCTTCCAGAAGGCGTGAACCACACTCAGAGCGAGGAGGGGGCGCGCGCAGGGCCGCTGGCCGGGGGGGGAGGGGGGGGGCTTGTCCCACTAACTGATGACAAGACAAGAAAAAACCCCGTTCTCCGTGCCTCTCCCAGCAGCTGGAACAAACGTTTGAAGTCGGGAAGGGTGGAGACCCCGACCGGGCTCCGTGGAGACACGGCGGCAGAGAGGCTGCGGCCGAGGGAAGGGGGAGGGAGGTGTCAGGCCGTGACTCCCAGGGGCCCGGGGTCTGCCCTGTGCGCTCAGGGCCGCCTCCCCCTGTGTCCATGGTCCACCCGCTCTCGCCTGACTTGGGATGTCCTCGCCTTCCGCCAGCCCCCAGACCCTGCACCCCTGCACCCGCTGACCCCGACCGCCTTCCGCCAGCCCCCGGACCCTGCACCCCTGCACCCGCTGACCCCGACCGCCTTCCGCCAGCCCCCCGACCCTGCACCCGCAGACCATGAGTGCCGTTCACGTCTTAGCCTCCCTGAGCAGGCGTTCAGGACGCCCCTGCCGTCCTCGGGACCCTCCCAGGCCTTCTCGTGCCACCGCCCCCCCAATGCCATTTATTCAGCACGTTCTTTGCCTGTGTCTTTGGCACCAGTGCCGGGCCGTCGTCTCGTGGGGACAGCCCGTTCCCACATGCAGGACTGCCAGCTGCGGTCCCCGCTGCCCCGGCGGCGGACAAGAATGTGACCGCGAGGTGGTGAGTCTACGTGTGCAAACTGTTGCTTCACCGTCATCGCCAGGCCCAGCGGCAGCCGTCTCACCAAGGACGCTCGCTCTTTCTTCTGTTTGTGGTCACGGCCACAGCAAGGCCGGGTTCAGGGGTGGGCCGTTGTCCACCAGGGCGCGTCGGGGTGTTAGCCCGTGCTTCACACACGCGTGCTGACAGACGTTGGCTCTTCTTCCCGAGGGTGGGTGGGTGGCAGTCACCCTTCCTACGTCCGAGAGGAAGCCTGTCTGCAGGAGAGGAGGCAGCCAACACAGAAACGGCCGAACGACATGATCACCTTGTTTGAGCACCTGGATCCAGCCACACCTGACCCCCACCCCATTCTTCCCAGTATCCTGAACTAGTCTTTTTTAGCTGAAAAAGTCTGCTTTGAGGTTCTGTCACTTGTAGCTAGAATGACCTTTGCTGGTCCTGTCGTGCCTTTGTCTGTGTAGCTCCTTGGCCGCCCCCGGTCCCAGCAAGGAGGCAGTACCGAATCAGGGGTCCCCTGCTCATTAGAGAAGAAGCCGGTCCTGCACCTTCACCCACGTGCTCTTCCCATGAGCCCCCCTGCCAGGAGGAGCTCAGAGTCGAGGGGGGAGGACCACACGGCCTGGGCTGGCGTCGTGGGAGGCCTCCGGGAGTCCCTGCTTCCCTGAGCTCATCAGCTCCTCGGTGATGAGCCCGTGGGGTCGAGAACAGGCTTCACCTCGCCAGCCATGTCGACAAGTCCACAGAGCGATCGAGGGGCAGCGTCACGTGTTACAAGACCTGGGTCTGGGTTAGCGGGCTCCGTGGTGGCGCCCGCCCATCCTCGCACCTACCCGCCCCTGCACGGACCCTTCACCCTCCACCTCTGACCTCCGTTCAAGCTCGTTTTGACACAACGTCAAAATATCAGAGTTGCCCGTTGCAGCCTTTCAGAGCTTCCGTCTGTCATCCCAGAGACAACTTGGGACAATGGCCTACATTTGGCCCGGACAGGGTAGCCCCGCAAAGGACACAACGTGCCAAGCCAACCCTTCCGCCAGTGAGTGTGGCCTGCTGGTAACCCGCAGGCTGCAGCCCTTCCTGAGGAGCTTGGAGCGCTGGGCACCTTCCGGTGGGCGCACTTCCCTCCGCCGAGGCACTGAGCCGGGCACCCTGCTTTTTCTTCTGGGGGGAGGGGCCGTATGGCACGAGATGGAGCCCCAGCTTGGGGTGTGTCAGTCCAAGGCGAGGGTTTATTCTAGATTCACCCCGTATGTGGCTCCTGCCTCTGTTTCCTTAACTGTAAAGTGGGTAAATAACAGGACCCGTCTCCCGGGGTTGCTGTAAACATGAGATGCTTGAGGGTCACGGGGCCCCTGAGACAGAGCCTGGTGCTCGGTGCTCAGGGAGCGTCTGCTCTCCTTGCCGTCCCCTCGCAGAGCTGCAGCAGAGGTGGGCCTTCCAGCTCAGGGCCAAGGCGAGGGTACCCCGGGCCCCAGTCAGCTGCCGGCAGAAGTCGTGGGCACAGCAAGCCGGCGCCCTCGGCACGGGCACGCCCAGCTTCCTGAGGAACAGCAGGCTTCAGCCTCCCCCCTGCCGGCGGGCCAGAGCCACGCGCTCTGTGCCCGGGTTGATTGGAGCGCTACCCAGAGGGACCAGCGGGCTGACGGGCACCGCGCTGCTCTGGGACCTTTTAGGCCCAACGTATAACCTGGCACTTAAAAGGAACTGTGTTCGGTGCCAGGAGCATTGCAGAAGCTGCAGCCTTATTTGGTCTGGAAACTTCTTTGCTTGGACGAAAAATGGAACAAGTAAGCAAGACTTCTCGTTGGGGCGGGCAGAGTTTTAATCGTGCCAGGACGGGGTGTCCAGTCCGGGGACTGTTCGCTTGCTCACTTCTGCTCGGGCTGCCTGGCCCCTCGGCCCTGCCCCTGGCTGCCTGCCTGCCAGCTGTTCTGGTGGGCGGCTTTACCAAACGTGTGCCACTCACACCCTAACACTCACACCCACAAGTGTGCAGCCCCGTGGATGTGAGGGGTCGTGTGGGGCTCTGCCAGCCGTCACCCCCCCCCCCCCCCCCCCCCCCCCCCCCCCCCCCCCCCCCCAGCTACCTCGTACCTGTTTCTAGTGGTCAGGCCAGGAAGTTCCCTTCTGGTCTTAGTTTGCTGAGAGGTTTTATTTATTTACTTGTCTTTATTTATTTACAATTTTAAAAATGTTTTATTTTTTGAGAAAGTGCAAGCGAGGAGGGGCAGAGAGAGAGGGAGACAGAGAATCTGCAGCAGCTCCAGGCTCCGAACTGTCAGCACAGAGCCCGACGCGGGGCTCGAACTCATGAACCGCGAGATCATGACCTGAGCCGAAGTTGGACGCTTAACTGACTGAGCCACCCGGGCGTCCCACATTTATACTTTTAAAATTTTTTAAATCATGAATAGACTTGGGACTTCACCATGTGCTTTTTCTGTGCCTGTTGAGATGGTCACGTGGCATTTGACCTTTTTTTGTATGAATATGGTCTATTGCATTAATTGATTTTTAAGCGTTAAATCAACCTTGAACTGGATAAATCCCACTTAGCCGTGGTGTTTAGTTTACGTATATGTTGTTGATAAGGGTACACGACCAAGCAGTATTTGGAAACCCCCACTCTGGGGTCTGCTCCAAATCAGAAGTGACTCTCCTTTTAGCAGGGCAGCCAAGCTTGGGCTCTTTTCATGAGACAGGTCAGGAGGTCAGGACCCGAGACACAGACCCACCGAAGGGTCTCGCGCGCCCTGTCCCCCGCTGAATGCAGCGCCCAGGCCACCCTCTCTGTGACGCCCCTCACATCGGCCCTCACCCTCACCCCACATCGGCGGGGCGTCAGCAGGCAGGGTGGTCCCCGCCCGGGGGGCCTGTTAGCCCTTGGGCTGGACCGAAGCGGGCCCCACGTCAGGCCATGCCGCGGAGGCTGCCGGCGTCCCTGGCTGGGCAGGGGTCCAGGTGCCGGGTCGGGATCTCAATGCCGACCCCGCACAGGAATTTCTGGTCTGTCCTAGGTCTTTCGTATTCTTTCCTCGAGTGGAGATGCCAGAGCCCGCAGCTGCCTCCTTCCTGTCTCTCCATCCACGCTTGGCTCCGCGGGCCAGGCCCCAGCAGACCCTATCCAGGGTGCCAGCTCTCTCTCTAAACGTTCTGGAAAATGCCCTGAGGCAAGCAGCCAGACGCTCAGGCCTCGCGGGGAGGGGGGCCGGCCCCCTTCGCGGAGCGCAGGAGGTCGAGGTCACATGGCTAGTTTATGCTGAGAGGCACCGCCCCCACCCCGTCTATGAGCCGGTGATACTCAAGATGGAAAGAGTTTTAAACACACAGAGCCACACCCCAAGGAAGATAAACAGCCCTGTTTTTTCCAGAAACCGAACAGGGCAGTCAGAGGCGTGGACGCCGTGGTCCTGCGGGGTCCCTGGTCTGGCAAGAAGCAGGAGGCGCCTTCCCGTGGATGACAGGGACCCAAAAAAAGGGCCAATTCTGAGGCAGGTCGGAGCCAGGTTCACAGTCAGAACCTAGAAGCGGGGGCAGGACTCCCTGATCCGTCAAGGGGGAAAAGGCTGTTCCCGTTATACGGCCGCATGATTAACTGGCTTGATGTGGTGTGAACCGACCAGTGACCACGCAAGTGGGTTCAGGGCGCGGCCTTTGGGCAGGGCAGAGTGAGCAGGCCAGCCCTTCGCTCCGGGGGTGAGGCTGCCATGGGGTCAGGAGCCCCCGTCTCCAGCCCGCGCCCCTGAGCCCACCCTGCTTCCCTCCGTCTTCTCCCCAGTGGCCTCTCCCAGTGCACCCCGTGCCCTGGGGTCCCATCTCAGGCTCGTGTCCTGCCTCGAGGACCCCCCCATGCTGAGGGTCCGCGTTGCCATCGGCCCCCAATGCGGTCGCCTACTTGCTTCTCCACTGGGACATTCAAGGCGCGTCTCACACTCAGCGTGTCTGAATCCGTGCGCCCTGATCTATCAGCCCCTCGGTAGAGGGCTGAACGGTGGCCCCTAAAAGACGCGTCCACGCCCTAATACCCGGAACCTGGGGAACGAGCCTGCGTGGAAGGATCTAGAGAGCTCACCTGGAGCTCGCTGGGCTCCCCATCCAACGCCAGGTGTCCTTGTAAGAGACGCACGGGGGACAGACAAGCAAGAGGCGGGGATGACCGTGTGAAGTCGAAGGCAGGGT